AATTGAACAATAATTTCATCACTGTGCTGAAAGAATTAAATGATGAAAAATCTGCATTTTCAAAATCCCTCCTTCCCAATACTCAACATCAATTAATTATTGAGCCATTTAGAAAGTTAAAAACACATTCCGACATTTCACACCTTGATTTGTGCTTGGAAATTAATGAATTTTTCAGAAAAGCAGTGATTGGTATCAAATTTAATCAAAAGCATGGAGCTGATGAGATTTACAAGAGTGAAAATAATTTGTTCGTTGAGGATTCATTGTTGGTTGGGTTGACTTCTTATATTTCCATTTCTGAGTGTGTTGAAAAAGCTAAGGAAAGATGTGCAACACTATTATTCGAATTATTTGTTGATTCTGATAGAAAATATTACGAATGTGATGTTTCTTTATTTGAAAAACTATTCCTCACTCACTATCGTTTACAATTTTATTCTCAAATTTTAGACGAATCTGTTGAAACCACTGGCGATGAAGAATCGAAACTTCCCCAATCCATAGATGATATCATTGTCAACTCTCTTATTCAAATCATTCAATTATGGAAAGAATACTATCCAAAAAGTCTTGTCGTCATTTCTTGGAATCTTCCAGGCAGCAACCCAACAAGCAAGTCAATGGTCAAGACATTTAAGGAAAAACATGGCGAATTAATTGAAAAGTGTGATCTTTCATTCTTTCAAGAATTTGCTACTGGAGAGAATGGAGCTTGTGATGCATTTGTGAAAAGATTTGATAAGGAATTCTTTGCCATTCAAAATCTGAAACGTTTCAATAAGAAATCAGACGATTTTGGGGTAATTATGTGGAGTGAAAAGTATTCGTTAATTGAGAAAGAGTTTGGATTTCAGGGAATGAGGTCAATTAATCCAACAATGATCAATGTTCATCTTTCCAATACCATTACACGAGAAAGAGAAGAAGAATTGGAAGAGCTCTTTAACTATATTTCGTCCAAACTTAAACGAAAGTCTTTCGTATGTGCAGGTGATTGGAATACTGAGCTGAACCTTGAAAAGATTCATTCAATTTCACATTTCTCATCAATTGATCAATCCAAACAGAGAACCACAAAATCTGGACGAAAGATCGATCACATTCTATTTTCTGATGATTTCCAGTGTAAACTTTGTGTCGTTCCTGAAATTTTGGCGTTTTCTGAAAGCAATCACTTTCCTAAAATAGCGTTTCTCAAAGAAGTGGATGATTCCGATTCAGAAAATGAAGTAAATGAAGAAGAAATCGATGAAATCATCTCCAACTTTTCAAAGAAAACAGTGTTGTAAAATTTTACATTCCAATATAATAATAAATAGAATTACCTCAAGTGTGAAACGAGTGGAACATTTTGCAAGAAATAGATGAGATGGGATACTTCTTGGAATAATCTGCAAATTATCCTTAATAGTTCGAGTGGGTAGAGAGTTGTACATGTTCAAAAGTCTGAAATTACCTTACGTATCAGTTTTGATGTAACCCAATCAATTTACTTTAACTATGAATATTTGCTTACGATATGAATATTTGTTAAAAAAAAATTTTTCAACAAACAATTCATTGATATTTAACAACTTGCTTGTCGGTTAGCATCAACTTCCGCTTTGAAGTAATTTTCCAACTTGAACACTTGTAAACTTCACCATCATCCTTTGAAATAATTTTAAATATTCTAATAATAATAATTCATGATCAAAAAAATAATCAAAAACAATTCATTGATAACAAACTTGCGAGGTTTTTTATTGAATAATAATCAGCATCCACTCTGTGCAACATCTTCTTTATTTAATAATAGTAATAATAATAGTTTTAATAGAATGTCCTTCTCATTTAGTCAAGTCAATGGTAGTGGATTTCAATCTTCTTCATCCAGTAATACAACAAGGAAGGGAAATTACAATAATAATCAACAGTCTAAATCTTCACTACAAGGCTCTTCTTCTTCTTCTTCTTCTTCTAATAATTCTAATAGATTTAGAGCAGAAAAACCAGTAAATAATAAGAATGGTGGAAGTAAATCATCAACAAGTGCATCTTCTTCTTCGGAAGGAGGTATTGAAGCTTATAACAAACAAGCCTTGAAAGAATTGGTTGAAATTTTGGATGAAACACCAGATATGGGATTTGTAGATACTCACGTCCATTTCGAATATATTTTACAGAGAGTGTTTAATGCACAATTAGGTGAAATTTCATCAAGTGAAAAGAAATTAATTAACGCCTTAACTTTTGATACCACAGATAAGGAACTTTCTGAGAGAATATTATCAAGAATGAATGGGTTTGTTTGTGTTCAATGTGATCCAACTTCATTCTCTAGTTTGGGAATGTGGAGAGATTTAATAGAAATGAAGAATTTGAATATTGGTGTCACATTTGGTTTGCATCCACACAATGCTTCTTATTATGATGAAAAGATGCAAGATAGAATTAATCAATGTATTTCAGAAGCAGGAAACAAATGTGTTGCCTATGGTGAATGTGGTTTGGATTATCACTACAATAATTCACCAAAAGAAGTACAAATGGCTTGCTTTGCAAAACAATTACAAAATGCAGTGGCTCTTTCTCTTCCAGTTGTAGTACATGCTAGAGAGGCAGAAGATGATGCCTTGCAAATTATGAAGGATAATCTCCCTAAAGATTGGAAGATTCACGTCCACTGTTTCACAGATAGATTGGAATTTGCTCAAAAACTTATTTCACATTTCCCTAACTTGTATATTGGATTTACTGGTGTTGTGACATATGCTCCAAGAGGAAACTCTACTAATCAGGAACAAGATTTGTCAGGTG